GTCAGCTGCCATTAAAAGTTATTTTCCACAAGATTTATCTGCAGCTGAATTTTTACACCTTATTAATATTTGGTGGTTAATATCGAATTCAAAGTCAAAATATTCAAATAACTATATTGGTTATGCAGACGTGAGGGAAGATAAAAAACCTGAATTCTTTCATTGTTTTTCGAAGTGGATTAATGAATGACAAATAAAACAGTTAAAGGAGTGTGGAAAGTTTACTCTTAGCAAGCAAACAGAAAATGCTATGATAAAAAGATTAAAAAGTTCTGCTGATTTGTGTGATGATTTACTCAATGAAGGTTATACTTACATTTAACCAAGTCGTTTCCAAAGTGACCCTCTAGAACGTCGATTTTCAAAATATAGACAAATGAGTGGAATCCGTTTTCTTGTTGGTTTATGTGAAGTTGAATCTTCTGAGAAAATACTTCAAATTAAATCTCTAATGAAAGGAGATATAAATTACTGGGATTTAAATCTTAAACCAGAGACCAGTCCAGATCTTTCATGTGAAATCGATTTTGAAATTATTTTGAAGAGATTGATTTAGACGATGACAGCAAGGAGGTGGCAACCTACATTGCAGGATTTATTATGAAAAAAATCTCTAAAAAATTTGTTTGTTCTGAATGTGAAGCGTTATTAAATCATGAGAAGGTCACCATTTGTGTTGTGTAAACAAATTTGCTCTCTAGAGGGGGGCATCAATAACCTGGGAAACATCTTGCATCATATATATTCAATTGCTTTGCTAAACTAGATTTAGCTCAAGAAAATTTATTTTTAAATGCTAATAATATCAGATATGCTGCAAGAAAGCTCCTAAATCTTGGAAAAGAAGGGATCTTCATGTGTCCTCAGCATTTTAATAATGCTATAATATTTATTAATAATATAATTATAAACATATACTTTAACAACAAACAAATAATTATCAACGGTGGAAAAAGAAAAGACGAGGTTGTTGCTTTTAAATCAAAGAGAACAAAAAGAAAGCATTATGAACAAAAAGAACAAGAACAGAGAACAAAAAGAAAGCATTATGGTTAATCTATTTGTTGTTGCTAATTTCACAATATTTTAAAATTTATTATGATTTTATGAATGTTTATATTACTTTAAATAAAAAAAAATTTTAAACAGTTGTTTATTTGTTTTAATAATTTCTATTTTTATTATTCCAGCTTTTTCTATGGAAACTCAATAATTACAAAAAAAAAAAAAAAACTAGCCTCCTAATTTTTTTCCGTAAAAACCAACAAACCCGGCCGTGTATTTATAGTAGGCCATGCACACACCCGTTAATCATTCTTAAACGAGAGCGCAACAATGACAGAATTTAGAAAACTATCAAAAAAGCATTATGCTCTGTATAATATTGAAAGGACTCGAACGATGAAAGGACTCGGACGATAAGGCCCAAGGCATTGTAAATATGATGTATAAATGCGCGCTAATGCATTGTAGATATGATACACAGATGTTCACGCCGTAGTGTGGCCTAACTTTTTTTTTTAGTTTTTCTCGAATAAAAAATAAAACATTAAAAAAATACTATGGATATTATATGCATGAAATATATAAAAGCATTACATTCTATAACAAACGAAAGGGAGAGAATTTTAAAAAGCTTTTTAAAAATTTTAAAAAACATGAAAATACCATTGAAATATTTTTGCACGTATATCATGCATGATATACGAATATCATGCATGATAGAGATAAAAATAAACTATTAATAAGCACACAAAGTTTATGTGCTTATAATGAATTAATTATTGTTTATAATAAACAACTTACGTTGTTAATGTGCTTAAGTAATAAGCTTGCGCGTTTAACATGCAGAACACGTTTAACAGAGACAACTTACTTTCTTTTAAAAAAAAGATTTTATATGCCAACTTTAACTTTCTTCAAAATTAACGGGGGAAGAGACATAAAAAGCTGCGGATATTCTAAAAAAATATAAATAGAAACTTGTTAAAGAAAAATAATAATCGAGCCCTTTTCCACTTTTTTTTTTTTTTTTGTTCTTTTCTTTTTGTAGAAGTTATACAGAGATTAAACATAAATCGTTAACTCAAAACGATTTTTATATTTTATATTAAAGTTTTTTATATTTTGCTCTTTTTTAAAACTTATTGAAATAAAGCAAAATTATTAAAATGGTTGGAGTGGAATAGACTTATAATGACCAGTATACGGGTCATGGTAAGTCCGCTATTCCACATATTTAAGCCATCTCATGTTTTTAAAATTTTTTAAACCCATGGTAATTATTTAAGACATTTCAATCGGGTATTTTAAATATTATCTAGACAGCTTCTAATATATAATTAGTGATAAATAGCGATTCGCGCAACAGCTATGTTACATGCAAACTGAAATTTTCTTTCAGAATTAACTGGTCAAGAGTCCTAATAAGTACCGGATTTTATGAAAAAAAAAATTATATTTTGAAACTTAATAAAAAAAAATTAACAACTCCAGAAGGTGACAAACAGAAAACCCAAAAATAATAAAATACGTTATAATTTTAATTCTGCTAAATTCGGTAATAGAAATGCTTAAATATAAGGTATTATTATTAAACTAGTTGACCCGTACGATACGGGTCGTACGGCAAGTCTAATCCACACCCGACAATTTCTAAACTTGTTCCTTTGTCTTTACTTTAATTTATTTTAGTACTTTAATTTATTTTAGTAATACTTTAATTTATTTTAGTAAACGGCAAAAAATAAATCAATTTAAAGTTCTGGTAGATGGTAAAATGCGAACTTTAATTGCGAACCATAAATTATAATTTATGGTTCGCAATTAAAGTTCGCATTTTACCATCTACCAGATGGTAAAATACGAACTCTTAAGAAAATTAAATTGAACTTTAATTGCTTGTAAAATTTTAATTTAAAAGAAAAGTCTACTTTAAATAAAATATATCGAATACCAATATATTTAATTTAAAAAATCGATGAGCAAATGTTTTTAATATCATGACTGTTGCGGTCATTAAAATGTCTTGGTTCTCTAAAAAGTACACAGTTTGCATTTGAATGACTACCTAAAGTTCTTGATTTTAAATTTACTGTTCTTTAGAACTAATTAGTATTTTTACTTATTACATTTTTACTTATTTTATATTTTCTACATAATAAAAGTATCTTTAGCATATAAGACAATTGCGTGAAACTTAGGCTTAATATTTTAACTCTCTCATAAGAATTTATTTAAAAAGCAAATTTGGACATTGAAAAATGGGTCCAAAAGACCTAGTTATTTCAAATAAGTTAGCTTTATCTGTTTAATATATTTTATAAAAGCCTTTAATAAAAAAACTCTATATATTTATATCATAAAAAATTTCTATAATTGTTGAAATATATTGACAGTTAAACTGTTTTAACTGCTGAATTAGCTGTGTATTTACCTGCGGAATTGCCGCGACCCGTACGATACGTGTAGCTGCAACCCTATTCCACATCCGGCTATTTCCAAATTTGTTTTTAGTTAGGTCTCTATACCTTAGGTAAACAGCAAAAAATTAGTCGATTTAAAGTTTTTGGTTAACAATTGACTTAATATACTTTAGAAACTGTACTTATTTACTAAATGTACTCCAATATTTTAGACATAAAAGGATCTTTAACATAGAGACAGTTTCTTCAGGTGTTTTTGAAAACTTAGGCTATAATCAAGATTTTACCCTCTAATCAAGATTTATTTAAAAAACAAATTTGAACATTAGAAAACGGGCCTAGGAGACTTTTTATTTTAAATAAGTTAGCTTTATCAGTTTGATACTTTTTCTAAAAGCGTTGCTGTAAAAAACAAAACTGTTAACAAATTCATTCAATTAAGCTGTTTTTACATCCGATGTTATTAAACATCGGATGTAAAAATAGAAACAATGGTTTCTATTCATATATATAAAAAGCAACAGAAATATAAAAAACAAAGCAAAAATAATCAATATATCCATTTGAAACAATAAATCAAAAAAATAGTCAGCAATAAGAAAAGGAACTAAAAATGGAACAAAATAGTTTTGAACACATAATACACATTAATTACAAATTAACGTGTCATGCAATCAAATAATTTTTTTGAAAACTCAAAAATGCGAAAAAGTGGATAAGAAACTTACTTTTTATTTTTCCATAATCCTGACAGATCAACATGAATGTGAGCTAAGCCTATTAACATAAAACATTACAACAATTAATTAAATAGCAGAATATGATACAGTAAACTCTAGATAACCCACACCTTTAAAGGACAAAGAAATTAGTTAAATTAAAGAAAATTAGAGTTATTGGAAATATAATATATAAAAAAAGCTTAACTGGAATTTCAAAATTAGTTTACATTGTTAAGGGTTGAGTTTCCTGAGTTTATTGAACATATTTTAACTACTAACTGCACACACTTATAAAAACATACATAAACATTTAAAAAACAAATCTTTTACTTTATAAAAGACATATATATTAACATTAACATATAGGAAATAACACATTATAAGCAATTACCACATCACGAGACATATTAATATTTATCAAAAACCTTTACAAACATCACATTTTAAAAATGAAATATTATTTGTGCAATATACATTCAATGACATACCTTGGAATGCATGTTAATCAAAGTTATACAACAGATTATAAATGTCTTGGTTCTGGAACATGCTACATAGAATTTGGTTGTGTGAAAGCCAACCCAGTAAGCACAGGACGTTTTTAAAACGTTTTAATTCCGTTCAGTTTACGGTCAGACGTTTAAAGAACCAATACAATCGTTTTTAAAACGTTTTTTTGTAAACGTTTTTTTTAATGTTAATTTAAACGTTTTTTTAGCGTTTTTTAAGCGTTTTTTTTTTTAACAACACGAAATTTCTCAGTTAGCCTAAGAACGTTTTTAAAACGTTTTTTTAACATAATAAACAAACGTTTTTTGAATGTACACGGCAATATTTAAAAGAGTATGTTTACACAAATAATAGCGCGACCTTCGATTAAGCGAAGTGATTTATTTAAGTAAAAGTTATATAAATTAACATATCTTTAAATCAACCAAGTGTTTGTATTGTTCTTGGAGAATTAAATTTAAAAATATATTGGAGTATTTTTAGTTTGTCTTCGTTAAAACTAGGTTGTGTTTGTATTTCTACTTGAGTCAAGTAGATATGATTAAAATGATAAAGTTTTTATGGTGTGGTTATTTAGATTAAATAGCTTAATTGTTGAGTAAACTTGATTGCTAAAGAAACTAGATTAAGTTTTTAATTCTACTTGATTATCAACTGCTTTTAATGCAAAAAAATTCATTTGGATTTGAGAAAAGGGAACAACATTTTTCAGAGTTTTTCTTCTTCAACTCTTAAGAAGAAAAAATAAAATATAATAATATCAGTGGTTTTTATTAAGGAATTACTATAGTTAAAAAGGCAGAAAGGGAAAAATATGATGATTTATTTCAAGAAAGTAAGTGATTTAGTTCAAAATGTCATTTTAAGATTTTTGTTCTTTAATAATATTCTGGTTACCAAATTAATTACCAAATATTTGGCAGTATGAAACCTATAATATTATATACAATATTATATACCCTATTTTACTTATAAAATTTATAATCTGTAAAGTAATTTGTATAAGATTTTTAATTGTAAAATTTCTACATGAGAAAACAAGTTTTTAGATAAAATTCAATTATTCTCTATGCTTGTATTCTGTAGGTTAAAAATAATAAATAAAGATGGTATTGATTGTGATGACCAAGAGATTCATTTTAAGACGCATCAATCTTCATCATCTTAAAATAAAAAGGATAAATATGATAGATTTCCATTATCTCAAACGAGTAAGTCTTTAGTTAAAAATAATGTAATGTTTGTTGTAAAATGCTAACACGACTGTCAATATTGAAAGATTTCATTGAAAAGATGAGGTTCCAATTTTAACTTTAAATAATCACCTGCATGAAATCCATTATTTCAATATTGTCAAAATTATAAATCTACGGAACAATCTTTCTTCTCTAACCCTAAATCTGAGAAAAACTGTAATATATAGTATAATACTTATTGTGACTATACCAAAAATTAGCATTGTTACAATCAAGTATTTTACTGTCTATTAGTTTTTCTCTGATTTAGAGTTAGACCAGTAAAGTTGTTAAATTATTAAGTTTATGTATTTTAAATTTATTTATATACGTAGTTTTGTTAATACTATGTAAAATTTGTAAGTTTGTATTATTGTAATACTATGTAAAATTTGTAAGTTTGTAATATTGTAAGTTTGTTTAGACTTTTAATATTGTGTGTTGCGTCTTCTAAATGAGATAAAAACCCAAGGATCCAAAAAACCTAATATAAAATAGTGTGAGCAAGAAGTAGTAACTGAAATGAACAGCCTAATAGAGTTTGATAAATTTGACTCAGCACTTGATAATGTTTCATCTAGTAACTCTGCAGTTGTAAATTGCTAAATACTGATTTGACAAATTTTTTCTTTTTTAAAAATTTTCTTTAAAATATATAATTTTTACCACTTAATTAGGAATTGTCAGTTTTTCCATAATTTCTTTCTATTAGAAACAAAGAGTTCAAAATATTGGTGGTAAGAATTGTCAAAAATGTATGATAGGTATGATGAAGAGGTTAGTAAATTAAAAGTGCATTCCTATAAATACTCTGTTTAAGTTTATAACGATATTACTCCTATCTTACAATCCATAATACAAATCCCATGCATGGCTCTACATAAGGTGTTTTACCATAATGGGACAAGTGAATAACCGTGAATTTCATATGTGCGAACTGGCGTAAGTACGAATTCGCATAAGTGCAAACTAGCACATGTGTGAAGCAGTTACAAAGACACAATGCCAAATGGAATAAGTGCAAATGGGTATAAATGCGCAAAAAGAATTTCCAAACATTGGCATAAGTGCAAACTGGCATAAGTGCGAATTGGCATATGTGCGTCGAACAAATTTGCAAACATTAACATAAATGCGAATTGGCATAAGCGCAAAGCAGTTATTGAAACAGTTACAGAAACTAGTATAAGTGCAAACTAGCATATGTGCGAATCGGCATAAGTGCAATAAATAGATTCAAAACATTCTCATAAGTGTGAATTGCCATAAGTGGGAACTGGTATAAGTGTGAAGCAGTTGCAAAAACTGGCAAAAGTGCAAACAACATAAATGCGAAATGGCATAAGAGTACCAAATAAATTTGCAAGCATTGGCATAAGGGCAAACTGGCATAACTGCAAACTAGCATAAGGGCAAATTGCTAATTAGCACTTATGCCAATGTTTGCAAATTTATTACGCGCACTTATGTCAGTTCGCGCTTCTGCCAATATTTGTAACTGTTTTGTACTTATTCAAATTTTGCACTTATGCTTATTCGTAATGTTTGCAAACTTGTTTGGCGCACTTATGTTAATTCACACTTTTGCCAGTTTGCAAGTTTAAAGCTATAGGTTATCCTAGCTTAACTTTATTCGAGACAATTCTTTTAACCCAGACTATTCATATATATGACTACAAGAATGGTTAGACTACAATAATGTACACTAATGATCTGAACTGCACTAATTGTTAGTATGCTATTTATTAAATAATAATAATTAATAGATAAACTTTATCGTTAAATTTAATAAAACATTTAGATTTAAATTATTAGAAAAAGAAAAACATTTTAGAGTAGAATAGAGTAGTTATTTATAATTTCATAAATTATAAAATATAATATTATTAAATTATGGTATTTTTAGTTTTATGACAAATTCATTCATGATCAAATTTAATATGGCAGCTGGAAAAGACAAAGAATTGTTTCAGTCTAACCAAGCTATACAAATAAATAAAAGGTACGTTTATATATATATATATATATATATATATATATATATATATATATATATATATATATATATATATATATATATATATACATATATATATATATATATATATATATATATATATATATATATATATATATATATATACATATATATATATATATATATATATATATATATATATATACATATATATGTATATAGATATATATAGATATATATGTATATATATATATATATATATATATATATATATATATATATATATATATATATATATATATATATATATATATATATATATATATATATATATATATATATACAGTGGTCAAAGTGAGGTGGGATGCCATCCCATCACACATATATATATATATATATATATATATATATATATATATATATATATATATATATATATATATATATATATATATATAATATATATATATTTATATATATATTATATATATATATATATATATATATATATATATATATATATATATATATATATATATATATATATATATATATATATATTTTAAAACATATATTTGTAATTTAAAAACTTATTACTATTATTATTATTATACTATTATATTATTATTATACTATAATACTATTATTACTGTTCAGATTGTCTGTTGTAATATAGTTTATTCTTTTAGTTTGTGCGTCGACTGCTCACTAATCATAAACAGAGTCGATTGTTGATGCAATAATTACTGATTCGTTAAAGCTGGCAACTTCTACTTGTGCTAAAGTACCTTAAATCCAACAGATATCATTGTTACGATATTAATTTGTTTAAATAAATTTTTTATTTTTCTTGTTTTTTTAACCAACAGGTTCTTTTAAACAATTTAATAATAGTCCCTATGGACTTGGGAATATTTTCTGAAAAAAAAACGTCTTTTAAACGTTCAAAAGACTTTTTTTTATGGTTCAATTTGGGTTTTTTAAGAGCGTTTTAAACGTTTGTTTTAGAACGTTTTTTAAACGCTTTTTTTAAAACGTTTTTTAGGTATTGCCATTTCGAACGTTTAAAAAACGTTTTATTTATTAGTTAAAAAAACGTTTTAAAAACGTTCATGCGCTTACTGGGAAGTCCCTTTGAGATTAGCATTAACTTTATCAAATGATTGACCGTAACATTTATTTCTTGTCCATGTTAATATAAGTAACTTTATTTAAATGATTTAATTTGATAGCATTAACATTAATGGGAAAAATTAAAAAACAACACAAAAATTATGTAACAAAAATATATTAAAAAAAAAAAAATAAAAATAAAAAACTGTCGCTCAACAGTTGAAAATCTAAAATGTAAAGAAATTATTTACAGCTGTTGCATTATAACTCCTTATGTGTTAACTCCTTAAAAAATTTTGATTAACAGCATAATCAACATGGTTTCTTGTCATTAAATCAGTCAACAATGGTGGATATAGAGAAAGAGAAGCTAATACAACTTTTTATGAATGGCAGCACAAAAAATGATTTTCATTTAAAAATTTCTTCGCTCTGTAATACTGACAATTATAGTTGAATTCTCCGAGGTAATTACTCTCTGTACCAATATTATTTCTTGCTATGCGATGCATATTATACCTATTGAGTTCTCGCCTAGCCTGATATCTTTCATTTTGATTACAATATGTTTCAGCTCGCCTGGACTCATCTCTTTTAATCCGACGGTGGTTTATCTCAGCTCGCCTGGGCTCATCTCTTTCATTCCGACGGCGGTTTGTCTTTTTTTATTTTGGCAAAGTCTAATAATTTCATTTCTTAAATTATCAGACAATAATCATGCATTAAAGAAGTGTGTAAAAATAATGCCTAATATAATAAAAAGTTGAAGATTGAGTTTTCTTTTTTAAACTAATCTATAATAAAGTGTAAGCAAAAAATATAGAGCATAATATAATAATCTTTTATATTCTACCATATATAGCAATGTGTTAAGATAACATACTTTTATTAAAAGGTTAAACTAAAGTTATTAATAAAATCATATAATCTTTTAAACTGAGTATTTTTATATATTTAAGGCAGTTGTTAATAATTATAAGCAAAATATTATTTGTATTTAATCAAAAAACAAAAGTAAAGTAATTAAAAAAAATTTTTTTTTACATTTAAGAACATAAATAATGCAAATTAAAAATAATAAGGCCTGTCTGCTCAGCAAGTACTGCTAAAATATAAGGATAAAATATAATCATTTATCATAAAAACCCTTTCATTACTTTGAAACGCATTCAATGCAAGATTTGCAATAAATAAGTAAATACAAAACTAATAAAAGAAAACCTCTACAAACAATCATATATTTGCTTGAAGTGAAGAAACTTGGAAATATTGAAACTTGTTTAACTATTTTAATTTTTTTTAGATATCTAATATTCTAAAGAAAAAAAAAACAATAATATATATTCTATACATATAATATATGCATAGACACATTGATTTTATATATTTTATTATATCCATCCACTCGGAATTACGTGACTATATCGCGAAATCAAAAGTAACCATATTTAATTGGGGAAAACAAACTATACTTTCTTATACGAAAAGTGAAGAAAACATTATTAACAATAAATTTATGTTCAACAATTATTTCAAAATTAAATCAAAAGCAACAGCGAATAGATGTCTGCAAAATATAAGTCTTTTAGGTGATTTTTACAATCTTTTAGATCTCTCATGACTTACTTTGCTGTCTACGTTTTATTTTGGTTATTTTAGGTTACAAAAAGAATTTTAATATTTATTTACCAATACTTAAGATTTAAATTAAAAGTAATCCACCAGTAATAAAGAGTGCCGAACTAACATGAACTTTACAAGATTTTACTTGCTACATGCAATACTATCTGCAGCACGATTAATCGTATTCAACTTATGATCAATAGCATTAATATAGAAAGAGACCATTCGATGAAAATCCTGGGAATAATTTTTCAAGAAAATCTTAGTTGGAAGAATCATATTTTGCACATCGAAAATAAAATCTCCAAGTCAATCGGCATCATGCATAAAATAAAACACCTCCTAAATAAAACTTGCTTAAAAAATATATATTATTCGTTCATTCACAGTTATATCAACTATTGCAATATCGTTTGGGCAAGCACATACTCTTCAGTACTAAAAAAGATATATGTAAAACAAAAACAAGCGTGTCGAATTGTATGCAAAGCTAACAGATATACCCATGCCAAACCATTATTCAGGGAAATTGGAGCTCTAAATGTTTATGAGTTGAACCTTTTCCAAAATGTATTATTTATGTTTCAATCGTAAAACAATTTACTACCAAAATACTTTGAAAATCAATTTTCCACCAATGATCACAAATACCCAACAAAGTACTCTTTTCAAAACTTTAACATCCCAAAAACTTTACTTAAAATAACTGATTTCTCTATCTTATCTCGAGGACCGCGGCTATGGAATTCGATCCTTAAAGAAGAAATAAAAAACATGAAGTCATCAAATCTCTTCAAAGCAGCTGTCAAAAAGCACCTATTTAACTTAAGTAACGTCAACATACACTCCTACTTTTAGAGATCAAATTAATAATAACTAAAACGAACTTATTCCTTTTGGATGACCACAAACGATGATTATATCACAATACAAATAGTTTTTCTTTGCTATACTCGTCTATCAGATCCTTACGTACAAAGCTTTGTTTTTTACGTACAAGGCGATGTATTTGCTTTATTTCTACTTATGAATTTTAAATGTCACGATAAGCTCACGTGAAACTTATTGCAGAGTCGCAATTAAAAGGGGCTTGATATTAAGACTGCAGTCTTCTACTTGCACCTCTCATTATTTTAATTTTTTATCTTATTTATAAATGTATGTATGTAAGTGACGAAATAATAAATTAAAAAAAAAAAACAAACAAAAAAAAACCATTTTCTTTTAAATGACTCATCTTTTGCATTTTTTTAAAAATTTGTTCGTGCAACCTACTGTGCAACAGCATTTTATGGATTTTTTTAAAAAAATAACTCAACAAACCGCTTCCTATTTTTTAGTTTGTTTTCCCCCAATTCAAGATGATAATATATATATATATATATATATATATATATATATATATATATATATATATATATATATATATATATATATATATATCCCAGCAAACACAAGACGTCTTAAAGACCGTCTTACTTAGGTCTTTAAATGGTCTTGTTTTAGAAAGACGTCTTCAAGACGTTTAATATCCAGTTTTTTAAATCCTTTTTTTTGGCGCATATCTAAATTCTCTTATATACGTCTTAAAGACATCTTTAAAAAGACAAGAAAATATTTGCTTGGTATCGTATGACGTCTTTAGTGCGTCAATCTTTTACTTTCGGTATAATATTTTAAATAACCCTCTTTAAAACGTCTTAAAGACGTGCTCAGTAAGACTGCATTGGCGTGATAATATTTCGTTTTTCATATAAACTTAATAAGTTTTCATATAAAGTTTAAAAGTTTTTTTTGACTTACGTTTGATTTCTAAACTTCATCTTATATATATTTTTTAACATTTTTTATGGAAATTGAAAATCGAATGAAGCGTCGTCGCCTGAATAAAAGTATGTTGGATTTTATAACGACGCAAGATGAAGTTATCAATATTAGCACTAATATGAATCGTGAACTTAATGCTTCTTATGAGCATGAAACACCTTGTGAAGCCCCTGCTAATATTCAAGAAGAAAGTGGAATAACAAATTTATCTTTAAGTTATAATTATGAGAATTTTGAATGTTTTAATGCACCAACACTATTGAAAACAGAAACATTATCACAAGGTTTGGCAAAGTGGTCGTCAAAAAGTAACATTTCTCAAAGTAATTTAAAGGAACTTTTGAATATTCTCAGAAGGCATGGTCATTCAAATTTGCCAAAAGATGGAAGATCCCTTTTAAAATCCTCTAAAGTTTTTACAGTAGATAGGAAGTGTGGCGGAACTTATGCATATTTTACCATTGCTAATGGCTTAAATTATTTTTTGAATACAAAAAAAGATTCTCAAAAAACTGAATTATCTGTTACTGTTAATGTTGATGGACTACCTCTTTTTAAATCTTCTAATCTTCAACTATGGCCAATACTTGGTTTAATAGAGAACTATATTTTTATAATTGCACTTTTCTGTGGAAATGGTAAACCAACCTGCTTAGATGATTTTCTCTATGATTTTATCAAAGAATTATTATTTTTATCTAATGAAGGTTTATACAACGATAATAAAAAAATTAATGTTAAACTTAAAGCATTCATATGTGATGCACCTTCTCGTTGTTTTCTTAAATGTATACAAGGTCATACAGGATATTACTCTTGTGAACGGTGCCAAATTCAAGGATTATATGAGGATCATAGAGTGGTTTTTATTGATGACAACCTATCAAATCCAAGATCAACTGAGGAGTTTTGTACACTATACATCAGAAATCTCTTACTCCTTTAGCTCAACTTCAAATATCTTGTGTTTCTGATTTCATTTTAGACTATATGCACATGGTTTGTCTTGGAGTAGTAAGACGCATACTTACCTTTTTAAAGTCAGGTCCTAAACATTGTAGACTTTCAAATACCCCCAAAAAAAAATCTGCTTATTTATTAAGCTTACGTGGTATGATGCCATCTGAATTTGCTCGACAACCACGGTCTCTTTTTGAGTTAGATCGTTGGAAAGCAACAGAATTCAGGCAATTTATTTTATACACTGGTCCCTTAGTTTTAAATGGTGTTGTTAGCATGTTGCGATGGTGATTCTCTTAAACGAAGAAAATCAAGTTAGAAATCATTATCTTGAATTTGCTAAAAAACTAATAAATTATTTTGTTATTAATTCGAAACATTTATATACAAAATCATTCTGTGTTAATAATATTCACTGTTTACTTCATATTTGTGATGATGTTGTTAGATTTGATTGTTCACTAAATACAATATCTTGTTTTCCCTTTGAAAGTTACATTGAAGTATAATATATAAAGTATATAAAGTATAATATATATAGTATATAAATATATAATATATAATATATAAAGTATATAAATATATAATATATAAAGTATATAAAGTATATAAAGTATAATATATATAGTATAATAAATATATATATCAGACATTGAAGAAAGCAGTGAAAAATTCAAAGAGGCCGGTTTTTCAAATTACAAAACAGTATCAAAATTTACAATATTTATTTAATACAAAATCTCAAAAACTAAATATTTCAGTGAAGCTGAAAAATTCATGCTTTTATCTAGAAGAAAATTAATTTTGTTTTATTGATGAGAAATTACCATCTGGATTTTTTAAATGTAGAGTATTTAAACTTGATTTACAAAGTGATTTATATACACAACCGATTCTGTCTAAAACCTTTAAAATTTTCTTGATACCAAAGATGAAATAAAATTAATGAAATAAAAGTAAAAGTGGTTGTGTTAGGAGTTGAAAGTCTCTGCCGAAAGGTTGTTGCACTACCTTGAAAAGAAGGTCTTGCGTGCTTTCCTTTTTTGCATGAAGTAGAACATTAATGAATCATAATTATTTGATTGAAACCTTTTTAATTATTTTTTGTTTGTTTATACTTTACATTTATTATTCAATAGTTTGCATCTTACCTCAAATGGTAATTAGTGAATCTTATCATGTTAATTATATATATATATATATATATATATATATATATATATATATATATATATATATATATATATATATATATATATATATATATATATATATATATATATATGGTGGTGGTGGTGTATGTATTTATATACAAGAGAATATTAAATCTTATGAAATAAATGAAAAATATCTAATATATGAAAATATTGAGCAAGTATGGTGTTTGATTGAAATGGCAAAGAGCAAATCTTATGTGTTTGTATGTACCGGACAGGTCTTAGTGAAAAGTGTATTGTCATTATAAAATCATTAAAACAAGCATATGTACTCAAACAAAATAACAAATGCTCTGGTATTTTAATATGTGGTGACTTTAACTATGCAAACATCAAGTGGAACGATGAAAGTTTTAGTGAAATTATAAATGACAGTGACACAACAGCAAGTATGTTTATTGAGTCGTTACATGACTGTTACCTGCACCAAAATGTTATCAGTCCTAGTTTTCAAGTAAAGTTTGGTATTGATACTAAAATTTTAGACCTCATTTTAACTGATAATAGCAACAGAGTTTATTTTTTTGAACATTTTCCATCGTTAGGTGGTATCGATCATGGTCATCATATTTTGAAATTTCGATTTGGTTATGAAAATAAACCTAATTTATTAATATCACTACAAACGAGGAAGAAAAATTTTTTGTGGAAAAATGGAAACTATAAAGCGTTAGATTTGTATTTTAATAACATAAACTGGATAAATGAATTTGAAGGACTAAGTGTTAATGAGTGTTACGAAAAATGGCTAAGAAAATATTAAACAGGATGTGAAAAATATATCCCAACGCTAAATTTAGATTAAAACTCTTTTCAACTAAAAAATAACTTACTATGGTTGACAAGTGAACTTAAAAGCATGTGTAAAGAAAAGAAAAAATGTTGGTTTAGAAACAGAAATTCAGGTTTTAAAAGTCTTTTAGAAGTCAATAAGTATAAAAAATTAAATTAAGATGTAAAAAAACTTGTCAAGAAAAGTATTCGCAATTTTGAAAAAAACTTGGCACTTTAAAAAACACTTTCAAAAAATAATCCTAAAAGTGTCTATGCTTATATAAACAACAAAACAAGATTTAAAGACTCGATCAAAGCCATAAAGCTACATAATGGTATTATAACTACTGATAATCAAGAGATAGTAAACACTCTTAATGAATTCTTTGCTTCTGTGTTTATACAAGATGACTCATCAGAAGAAGTTTTAGACGACAATCTTTTAACAAAATGTTCTGATCCAGATTTTAGTATTTCTATTATTCAGAAACATTTGAGTAATTTAAACATGTACAAATCAGTAGGTCCAGATAATGTTCACCCAAACGTTTTAAAGGAATGTTCAGAATCTTTGTCAAGTTCTTTAGCAATAATATTTGTTAAATCGTTTATTACAGGATCTATTTCAAAGTTATGGTCATGTGCAAACGTTGTTCCGTTATTCAAAAAAGGAAATAAACTAGATCCAACAAATTATAGACCGGTTTCATTAACATCAATTGTTGGTAAAGTTACGGAGAGAATTATTAAAGATCATATGATGGTGTTCCTCATTGAAAACAATTTAATTTCTAAAGAGCAACATGGTTTTGTTAATAACAAAAGTTGTATAACAAACCTGTTAGAAACATTAGATTTAATCACGCAAGCGTATGAAGAAGATATTTCCGTTGATGTTTTATTTTTGGATTTTAAAAAAGCATTTGATTCAGTCTCTCACACGAAATTACTGAAAAAATTATTCAGACTAGGATTTGTATCATCTTTGTTAAATTGGTGTAAATCATTTTTGTCAGACCAAACACAGAGGGTTGTGATAGGGGAATATATTTCAAGTTGGAAGATGATTACTAGTGGAGTACCACAAGGTTCAGTACTCGGACCTATTTTGTTTGTAACTTTCATTAATGACTTATGTAGAGGGATTATTAAAGACACTAAATTATATGTAGACGATACCAAAGTTGTTTCAATCAATCATCGTTATGATGATAATAAAACATTACAAGAGGACATTATCAGGTTAGTTAAATGGTCTGAAGATTGGTTAATTACATTTAATGAATCAAAATGTAAAGTCATGTATATTGGCAAAAATAATCCAAGATATGAATATAAATTGAACAACTCTGTTTTAACAGAAACAATGATAGAAAATGATCTTGGGATTTTCATTTCAAATAATCTAGAGTGGAAATATCATATTAAATCAGCTATAGGTAAAGCAAACAGAAAATTAGGCATGATCAAAAACTCTTTTGAGTATTTGGATGAGTTTTCATTAAAAATACTACCCAATCGTTAGTACGTCCCCATTTGGAATATGGAGCCACAGTTTGGAGTCCCTTTTGGAAAAAGGACATTGACAATCTTGAAATTGTGCAACACAGGGCTACTAGAATTGAATCTTTAAGGGGGAAGTCGTATGAAGAAAGATTAAAGATACTAGAATTGCCAACTTTGTTTGATAGAAGAAGAAGAGGTGATCTGATTCAAATGTATAAAATCTCAAAAGGGAAAGATATTGTTAATTTTCACCACCCTCCTTTAAATTTTGATCTGGAGCGATCTAGTTGAAGTAACAATTGTTGAATACGCAGACAATTTACAAAATCAAGAATTCGTCACCATTTCTTTACAAACAGAGTTATAAATGATTGGAATTCTCTTCCACAATGGATATTAGATAAAGATAATTATTTCGGTTTCTGAACACTAATTTTTGTAATCGGCTGTCATAGTCTTAATTCTACGTTATTAAGACTCTACACACCTCAAGTGTGTACAGCACCTTTTCTATTCTATTCTATTCTATATAATATATATATATATATATATATATATATATATATATATATATATATATATATATATATATATATATATATATATATATATATATATATATATATATTATATACATAATAAATAACTATTATATATATATATATATTAATTATATATTATATAATAATTATATATATAATAAATAATATATTATATACATAATATATTATATATATATATAATATATTATATATGTAATGTATTAAATATATTACATATATGTATGAAATATATTATATATATATATTTTTTTATAAACTCTTATTTTTAACTCTTATTTTCTGATTTTTCCTCTTTTTTTGTTTGCTTGTTAATTACATGGTATATTTTTTAACATTTAATATTTTATAATAAACATACCATTTTTTATTGAGATTATTTTAACTTTATTTAAAAATCTATTTTAATGCAGTTATTGAAATATTTTTCAAATACTCTTTAAATTAAAATCAGTAAATAAAAATAATAAAAAATGATAAAGTGAATCGTTAAAATTAAAAATTGTTAAAGATAATATTTTTTTTAAAAATAATATTGTTTCTATTTTATTGCCTACACAAACTTAAAAACTGAACAGACAGACAGTTATTTTAATATCTATTTTTGTTTGGTTTTTGTATAATTTTTGAGACAACTTAATGCTCTTCCTTATCATTATATACATCGTTAAATACCTAGTTGTTTTTCATTCCTTTATAAATTGTTTAAACTAAAGTTTGTTATAGCAACTTTTTTTTATTGCTCCAAGTTATAGTAAGAATGTTTTGTATTACATTTTTGTTTATAATTGTAACAATATAATTATTTTTCCATTATGACTTAGTTTTAACCATGATTTGGGCAAGAGCTGTATGGATCGAAAATTATGAGGAAATAGAAGATGTTGTGCCAAGAAGGTGGATAAATGCAGAAAAAAAAAATACTATTTTGGCTTTCTGGTATATCTTATCATAGAGCTGTAAATGATGAAATGGATGCAGATGAAACATGGGACAAATATAAACTTATCAAAATCAAATTTGAGAGTCGTATGAGATTAGATATAAAACACACACATAAATATATATATATATATATATATATATATATATATATATATATATATATATATATATATATATATATATATATATTTATATGTATATATATATATATATATTTATGTATATATATATATATATATATATATATACGTATATATATTCTTATATATATATATATATATATATATATATATATATATATATATATATATATATATATATATATATATATATATATATATATATATCTGAATAAACTATATAAGTACTATTAAAATAATGTTTATTTTATAAGAGTTATTGCTCTTTTAGATAATATAAATGAGCTAAAAGAATATGGTTACACAACAGCAGCACAGGAGGAGGATGAAATAGATAATTGTTTTAAAAGTTCCAAAGGCACATTTAAAGTCAAAAGTAATGTTTATGGTATAATTAAAAATTTGCTTACAATTTATTTTTAATATCAAATGTAAATACAAAAACTAGTTATATAAACATTATATTTTAGAGTTACCAGATTTTCCGTTGCCTCCACCAGTTTTGCAATCCATACCAACAAAATCATTAAAGAGATCATTTGATTTTAATTTGTCACCTGGATCAACTATTTTAAAACAATCAAATATTTGTTCTAGTATCTAATAATTATTAAATTATTAAAATTTAAAATTAATTCAATTTGCAACACCTTCAATCTAAAATATTTCTGGATTCTTATTTTTGGCTTTGCCTGACTCTTTATCTTTACACACCGAGAAACAACCAACTTCGTATTCTGAGTCACTGTGTTAGTATTATTTTTAAATTTTATAATCAAAGTTTTTGTTTATTAAGGTTGAAATATTATTTTGTTGTTAATTTTAGCTTTGCCTAACTTCTTTTTACCTTCAAAATCAACTGAAAAAGAACAATCAAATTTTTTTACAGGTACACTGTCTTTGATTATTATTTTACATCTGAAAAATTTTGTTTGAAATTTTTTCTTTTATTTTAATTTAATTTTTGGCATTAGTTTTACCTCATACTTTGAGTTCAAAAAAAAAAGAAAACAAAAGAAGAAGTACAAAAAAATAAACTATGATTGAAGCCCTTGGACCAGAGAAGTTAGTTAAAAATCAGTTTCCTATGAAAGTTGGAAGTAAGCTTTTTTAACCATTTAATTTATTTTTTATTTGCAATAAAATGTGGAGACTGTGCACACATTTTAATTATTTTAGGAATGACTTTTAGACAAAAAACAATAACTGTTGGTCATTTTGAAATTGTGTAAATAATTTTTTTCCATATATATATATATATATATATATATATATATATATATATATATATATATATATATATATATATATATATATATATATATATATATATATATATATATGTAATTTAGAATACCAGCATATGATGTTCAAGATGGTATCAAAAATTCTTGAAAACCAGGAGCTAATTATTGCTGTAAATAAACAACCCCATAGTAATTTGGAAGTTAAGCAATTAGAGACTATAGCAGAATACAAAAATTTAGTCAAATATTTAGAGAATGATTCAGTTTGCCTTGATTTGGTAAATACTTTGTCTTTACATATTGAAAATATTTACATATTGAAAAATTTGTAAATTTAAAATAATTATTTTAAAAAACTTTGTTATTTTGGTTTTGATTTTTTTTATTAAGGTTAAACAACTGAGTTTTTTAGGCGCAGAAGATTATAAACAGCTGACAAGATTGGTTATGAATAGGTTTTTCTAATTATATTTTTATATGAGCAATAATATTTTTTATTTTTCTGTTGTAAATATATATTTCAAGTATAGTAGTTATTGCAACCAATAATTACATTGGGATGGTAAATTGCTTATTTTTCATAAATTACTTATTCCTTATGTTATATAGATTATTTAAAAATACCCTATTGGCAGTTTAATTTAAAAGGTTCTGGTGGAAAAATTGGTTTATTATCAACGAAGCTATATGATGTAACAGAAGGTAATAAAAAATATAATAAATTAATATAATAAAAATTTTTATCATTTAGTATTTGATTAAAAATGTATGTTAAGTTAAAATTATTTTTAAGATTTTTGATAGTCAAAATTTTTAATTTTTTTCCAGTTATTTACCTCCCCAAAGCCCGAGGGGGTCACTACAGTGGAGGAGGCTACTTATTTTTTTTTTATTTTTCATTTTTATTGTAAATCGTGGTACAACCCTCTCTCAACTCTTTAACTCCGAAACACGAACCTTGACAAGCAAGGCCGCAACCTTGACAACCTTGACAAGCAAGGCACGGAGAAATTAAGTTGAGCGCTGTGCTTCCAGAGATGCGGTGGGAGTCGAACTTGCGTACAAAGCGAGCGCTCTTACCACTACACCACTGCCGCATAAATTAAGTGGCAAGTTTACATTTTATTATTTGGCAAGTATTTGTAAATTTTAATTTATTTTTAGAAGTTGTAACAAGAAGGTTTGGAAAAGTTTCAAATTCTGATATAAGACAGCAAATCGGAAGATATTGTAAAAAATGCTCCATCGCGGAAAAATAGAAACTAAAATTTATTTTTTATTGTATATATTATATGTTATATACACTGTTATATAGAAAGATACTTTATTAAAATCCATCTAATTGTATTTTATGCCCTTTTCAACTTATTTTGTTTTATAATTTTATTAATTAATATATTTATTTTTAATTTATTTTTCCTCTATATTTATGTTTCTAATAAATGCGGCATTAATTATAACTAAACTAAACACCTAAAAATCTTCTAAAATAAGACTTCTTGAGTAAAACGTTTTTAAAGCGCTTGGATAAGATGTTTTTAATATGTCTAGAGTAAGATAACTTTAAGCTATCTTGAGTAAGATATCTTTTAGACGGACAACCTAGACCTTTTTAAGACATCTTTAAGACGTCTTGAATAAAACGCCTTTAGACCGTTTAATTAAGACGTTTTAAATAGGTCTTTAGTAAGACGTTTTTAAGCAATCTTGACTAAGACGTCTTTTCAACGGACAACGTAGACCTTTTTAAGATATTTTTAAGACATCTTTTTTATTCTTAAAAAGACGTTTTTGAGACAGCTAAAAGATGTCTTTTTGTTTGCTGGGATATATATAAATATATATATATATATATATATATATATATATATATATATATATATATATATATATATATATATATATATATATATATATATATATATATATATATATATATATATATATATATATATATATATATATATATATATATATATATATATATATATATATATATATATATATATATATATATATATATATATATATATATATATATATATATATATATATATATATATATATATAATATATAATGGAGGAAGAGGGGATGACATCACCCTATTCCTCCTCGCATTTTAAGCTAAATTTCTTTACTTTTGTTTTTTTCTGTGGGAAGGACCGATGAAGTAATCCCACGGACTCATTATTTATCATTTTTTTAAACTTTAATACGTAGGGAGACTAACCTATTTTACTTAACTACTCTAGATTTATTATTACAATAAGTATAATAGTTTTCACGCTTGAGGCTAAAAACTTTGCTGTTCTGTTGTAGACGAAATGAGCGACGAATTCGTCACCGACGAATTTTTATATAAGGAATCAATTAATAAAATTAATAAGAGATCATTCATATTATATACATAGACTTACAAAAATTATATCATATTTTAATCTTATTCAGTAGAAATAGCTTTCTGTTTGATTAAAAAATTGTGTAATTCAAAAACGCATACATTTTTAAAATGATTAATTATTACATAAAATATTAAAAAGCATTATAGGTAAAAAAATGTTATATATGAGGAGTCGACTTGTAAACCAGATATTTCACTTTTTACTTGTAATTAAAATCTATTTACTTTGTGTTTGTTTGATAATATTCTGCTAATTCTGCAAACTTATTCTAAACAATCGAGTCAATCGTGGTAAAGTTTATTTTGTATTGTTTTTCGTTATCTATTTAATAATAAAGTTATTCAAAATATTGCCTTGGCTATTTAGTTCATAAAATAGACATAGTACTTGTCTAAATCACTTAACGAAGTGCACCAACGAGAAGGTAAGCCATAGAACTTTGCACTCCATTAGTAAACTGTCGTGTTGCTTAAGGTTAGCCCACTATTTCTGGATTTTTTTTTTTTTTGATAGGCAGTTATGTACACATATTTCTAAAACATTGAAAAAATATTTTTTTTTTTTTACTTTTTTTAAATAAATTTTAATAAATAAATAAACAAGACAAAATATAATACAACAAATAAAGCAACAATCAAAAAAGTAACAACCTAAATCACATGAAAACACTTTCAACATTAGGAATTAAAAGAAATAGCAAATGAAGTATGAGTTTCACAGTTTATATAAAACAATAAATAGTAATAATTTGCTAATAAAAAATGATTTTCACAGTTTACATGTTTAAAACAATGAGTAGAAATATTTTGCTATTGAGAAATTATTTACATTTACGAGATACTTTTAAAACAGTACTTAAATTTTTTACTCAGAAATTTAAAATTTTTATTTGAATAAAAACTTTAATTTTTTGTCTTCTTTGGATGCAAATAATTCAATAACATTAAATAGACAATAAAGTAAGTCCATTCAATCTATTTTCTGACATAGTACTCTCGTGTAAGTTTTTATTCTCCTAAGAGTAGATATTGACCTTTCACACTAACAAGTTGTGATTGGTATTGTAGCAAGTATATGAAATGCCTCTAAAATGATTGGAAAGCCTCTCATATCTCATAAACTCATAAACTTAAATGTATCTGAAATAGTAGATGGTAATTCTGCCTTTTCATTCCAAAATTTCCACCCATAACTCTAATTCAGCATTAATTGATGAGAAATGAGGAAGATTAGATTTACAAAAAATCAAAAATATCAGGAACTTTTCTTTCCATGGACAATATCTAAAAATTTACTTTATTAAACTAGCAGGAATAGCACAAAATCCATTATAAACAATTAAGCTCTCAATATCAAACCTATTTTCTGGTTTATTAAGAAGATGATTAAGAAGAGGCAATGTAATAGAAACTTTAAACTATCAAATACAGTATCACATATTTAATTATCTATATGCTTTTGAACACCACTGTTCTAGGTTTTTTTCCATCAATATCAAATGTTTTAGCCAATGCAAGAGCAATTTTATACCATTTGTTATGGTAAGCATCAGCATTTCTTCGTATTTCTTTTAAACGATTAGTCAAATTTTGAATTTCATCCAGTTGCTGGGAAATATCAAAAGATTTATTTTCAAGGGTGACAGAAATTCCATAAAAGTAATTCATTAAATGTTTAAGTTAAAACTAAAGAAACTATAAAAAAAAAATTGTCAATAACTTCATTAAAGAAGATGCTTTTAAAGATGTTTCTTTATTGTACTTTTTTAAATTGTCTTTTATTTCTTCAAAAGCAGAAAAAACTGTAGAATAATTATCAAAAACCACGTTCATGAAGCTTTTTTACCCACCGAGTTTGACATGTGTCAATAAGTTTTCCTTGACCAGGAAGAAAGTTTTTGTTTAAGCAATTACATCTTTTAGGAGAAAAGTTCAGAAAATAAGGCTTTAACTTGCCTTAAAGCAAACTTTTCACTTGATTGAGCAACTTTTCCCAACAACTAAACTAAGTTTATGTGAGTCACACAAGTA